ACTTGAACGGGCTGCTCTGGGCAGGTTTGGGCAATTTAATTATTAAGAACACTCATAGTAACAAGTTACACAACTTTGAATAAAAAAGGAATTCATATGCCTGCAGTTATGTCAGGAGAGGGAAAGGGAAGATAAAGATACAATGGACAAACAGGGAAACACTTCTTTACAAAGGATGTCAATCATAAACAAAGATGGAAAGTCAGGAGGCCAGCAAGACCCTGATTCAAAATAATTAAATTATTTATTGATTCATTACCACAGAATCATAACACCTAAGCCTCATGCTAGCTAGAATGTAGTTATTGGCAATATCACACAGTCTGAGAATCACCTGGCAGGTTGTTAGTGAGAAAACATTTTCACGTGGTGAGATAAGAGTCACCACCTTCAATAGGTACCTTTGCCTACTGGGACATCCTGACTGATGGGTTCCAGTGTGACTCAGCAACTAATAGGTGCCAGAATGCTTAGCACGTGATAAACAGACTTGGATTGTACTGGGTGTGGGAAGAATTGCAAATACTTTAGAAACTAGAGAAATATAATTCTACCTGAATATTAGATTACATTATTGCTTTCTTGTTATTTTTCTTGGGAAATGTAGAAGGTTCTAATTGCTGCCTTGTTCAAGTGTTTGGGTGACATATTTTAGGTATGTAATCTGTTTTCCAGTGTTATTAATTTACAGAAAGTTTACTTTGGCACATTCCTTTCAGTCCGTATTCTTGGTCAGTTGACCAGTGATAAAACTTGGTTCCTTAAAGCCATGCCTGTTGATTCTCTTAAGGGTTATTATTTTCCAATTGTCCTACATCCAGATGACTCAAATCAGGGTTCATTTGGGATCGGAAGGTTTTGCACCAGGTTTGGCTGTTGTATATGTTGAGGAAGCATGGACTGTACTCTGCAGTGATGGGAGTTCTGTCGGGCAGATGCATTTTGCTCCTTCATGGTGCTTCTGTAGGACGTGTCAAAGACCATTATCTAATGGTGTCCTGGGAGAGTGATTTTCATTCTTCTTGAATAGTGATTGCAAAGTTCCTGACGTTTGTACACATTTCTTCTCCACTCTACTCTCAACCTAAACTTATAATATGTTAGGAAAGCCTAACTTCTTAATTCTCATCTAACAAAATTCCTTTCCAAGCATGTTTGTAAGTAGCTCCTTAAATTCTTTATGATTGGTCCTGGCAATTAGAGTGTAAATGAAAAGGCTGTGACTTCCTGTCAGGAGTTACAGCTTCAGGACAGGATGGGACAGACCAGTATGGAAGGGAGCCATTAGAGGCTAAATGACTAGCAGGCCCTGACCATAGCCAGGTAGATACTTGGGTCAACACCAAAGGACTTGCAAGTCAGTCAGGCAAGGACCACACCTAGAGCTATGCCATAGCCTGCTGAATGGACCTCTATGGCTTACTTCAACCTTCATGTCTGAGAATAGCTTCTAGGTGCCAATTCCAGGTCCCATTTCCTTCACAGCAATCCTTTCAGAGCTTAATCCCCAGAGTAAAAGTTTTTTTTTTGGTTTTGTTTTGTTTTTTTGGTTTTGTTTAGTTTGCTTTTTGGTTTTTCGAGACAGGGTTTCTCTGTAGCTTTGGTGCCTGTCCTGGCACTTGATATGTAGACCAGACTGGCCTGGAACTCACAGAGATCCCCCTGCCTCTGCCTTCTGAGTGCTGGAATTAGAGACGTGCATCATCATCACCTGACAAGCATTTGTGTTGTTGTTTTGGTTTTTTTTTTTTTTTTTTGCCTACAGGTACCACGGGTTCCCTTTCACCTTCACCATCTCTCTCTGGGCCTCCCCAGATGTTAGGTGTCTGTGTTCTTTACCTGTCTCGTGTCCATTCTGTGGCCCCTATTTTACACCTCTTTTTTTCTCTTTGCCTTGGTTCCTCATAGTCCCGCAGCATGTGGCTCAGTGCCTCTCAGTCTTTAAGACAAGCGTAAGTGACAGGTGGCAGAGCCCCGCAGCATCTCATACTGTTCACATCGCTAAGTCTCCTAGGTGACCATGATTGTTTCCCTCACAGCAAAAGCTCCTCAAGACCCCAGGAAGCTTTTTCATTGTGTCAAGTAGATACTGAACACCTGACATTTCTCCTCTAATGGGCAATTACATTAAAAAGTTGGCATAAATTGTCCACATATTTAAAACAATCATGTTCCTCAAAGGTAAAAAATTAATAGAAGTGTAGCATTCAGAAACTTCAGTATTTAGCATTTTTTGCACAGCATCAGCAGAGCTAGTCAGAAGATTGCAAATCTAAAATCAGTAAGTCCGTGTGTTCATCAAGTGACAATCATTAATCCCTTCACCTAGCATGGTGGTTCTCAACCTTCCTAACCTCTGACCCTTTAATACAGTTCCTCATGTTGTCAGGACCCAACCATAACATTATTTTTGTTGTTGCTCCATGACTGCAGTTTTGATACTGTTATGAATTGTAGTGTAAACATCTGATATGCAGGATGGTATTAGGTGACCCCTGTGAAAGGGCTTTTCACCCCACCCTGTCAAAGGGGTCTGGACTCACAGGCTGAAAACCGCTGATCATGCAAGGGGCTTGGGGGTTTAAGGAGGTTTGACAGGCTCAGCTGTACTTTGAAATGGTGATTAAAAAATGCAGATTTGGGGCTGGAAATATGGTTGACCAAGAGTTCAACAATTAAGAGTTTATGCTGGCTGGGAGGTGGTGGCGCACGCCTTTAATCCAGCACTCGGGAGGCAGAGGCATGCGAATCTCTATGAGTTCGAGATCTGCCTGGTCTACAAGAGCTAGTTCCAGGACAGTCTCCAAAGCCACAGAGAAACCCTGTCTCGAAAAACCAAAACAAACAAACAAATAAAAAAACAAGTTTATGCTGTTCTTGCAGAGGACCCAGATTCAGCTCCCAGCCACTGTTAGGTGGCTACGACCACCTGTAATTCTGGCTTCAGGGGATTCCATGCCCTCTTCTGGCCTACATACACACAGACACATAAATAAAAATTAAACACCTCCTAAAGATTCCGAATTGGCACCCTGTCCCCATCAGAAGCTGCTCAGTGGGCAAAAACAAGCAGAGCCTTGACTGGTTTCATGATGTTCTTGTGTCAGGTTCAGTCTTTTCCTTGGGAAATGCTCTGCCTACCAACCTAGGGTTACTCCCATTCATTGTCCACATGCTTTTGTAGTATTTCCTGGGAATTTAGTGTTGTCGATAATTTGTTGCCAAAATTTAGAGCCCACACTAATCATGTGTTATTACCAACCTGTGCAGGCAGGTATGTGGCTGAAAATGGTGAGCCCATGAGACCAACATAAGTAGCTCTTACAGCCTGTCTTAGGGGACTTTATTCTAGTGTCTCCTGCTCAGGATCCCAGAGTTCCAGTCAGTGAATGAGCTTCTCTGCAGCCTCACTGTTAGGGCCTTTTGTCTTAGCTAAAATGCTCACCTTAGGTGCCAAGATTAGGTTCAGATTGAGGTTTGATGCAGGAGCAGAACTCAGAGTTAGCCTTGGCTTCTGTCACTTCCCAGGAATAGCTAATGGATGTGATGGTCAGGGTTTCTTAAGTGCAGTTCAGCTGGACCTGGCCATATTACCCTTAACCCCAGTACTCAGGAGACGGGCAGACAGATCTTGGACTTTGAGGTCAGCCTGGTCTACATAGTGTGTTCTAGGCCAGCCAGGGCTCCATCATGAGAGCCTCTCCACCCACCCACACAAATGTGAGTGTGTGTGTATATGTATGTATTCAACTCAATATACATGTTACATTGCCCTAGGATGCCTTGCTTAAAGTCTGAAACTGTGTTAAAGTAGACTTTATTCAGACTGCTCAAAATGAAATCCACCTCTAAAGGCATACTGACATCACATCCCTTTATCCTTCAATATACTCCTAAAATTTTGCGTGAGGAATTTTCATACGCCAATGGCTGTTTTCCCTTTGATGTACACTTTCACTAGAGGTGACCTTCACATTTAGAGGCACTGTGCTCCAGACCCCTCTAGTCAAGTGGCTGACAGGAAGGCCTCTGGCTGTGCTGTGAGACCCATCTCCACTTAGCAATCCACATCCTATCTGCTCTTAACTGAAGTCACTGAGGTGAAAATGGCCAGGAGAAAGGAGCATACTGGGTTCTGGGATTGCTCAGCAGCCAGCTGTTCTGTGGCTAGGGCTACTTGTATTTCTGTGCAGTCTTTGTCCCTGGCATAGACCTTACCAGGAGACTGCTGGACCCTTACCTCATGAGCCAGGCCACTGGCATGGCTGCCTAGGGCATTTAAGGGTGTGTAACTGGCCTCACAGTCCTGCAGACAGCAGGAGCAGGATTTATACTTTATCCTCAAATACTGTGAAAATAGTGATTAAGTTCTTATGCTGTTAACTTAGTTGACATGCCCTACCTTTCCAGTAAAAACAGCAAAATCTCTGTGATTTGACTATTTGCATTCAATTTGAGAATGTGGGCAGGAGATTTAATGGGGCGTTTACCAGGTTACTGAACCCTCTATCTAAAATGTAACTTGCAGTTTTCCTTCTGGGTACATGAGATCATGCATATGATTTTAATACTTGTCTTTTGTGACTAGGTCAGACTTTAACTCACAGATGGAGCAATGGAATAATGAAAAGAAATTGAAAAGGAGGAGGAGGGTTGTACACTGATGTTTATTAGGGAGCCCATGAGCTCAGCAGGAAAGAGGGAAGCCCAAATCCCCAGTGACCCACCCCCAGGGGGAGAGGAAACAGTAGCAGGAACTGGTGTTGGGTGTTAATGCTGAGATAGGGGTCCCCTAGAACTATCAGAGCAGCAGGGGGGTGGGTTGGAGAAGCTAGTGGCCCCAGCTGTGTGCGGTAGATCTTTACAGAGACTCTCTACAGCTGTGCCTGTGTTTACTCATGTGCTGCTTGTCTATGGAAAAGACTGTTAAGCTGTCAAATAGTGAACTACCTCGGTAGTTCCCGATGCCGTGATCATGGTTTTGGTCTCGTTTCTTTTAGGTTACCCCTGTTTCAGGCCAGTGCTTTTGCATTTTTGGCCCCTGCTCGAGCCATCCTGTCTTTAGATAAATGGAAATGTAACACCACAGGTAATTGCAGTTATTTCCACATATGTCATTGGGGTCCTTTAAAGCAGGTGGAAAGGGGGCCTGGACACTGTGCCAATAATTGAGCATGGAATGTACTGGCATAGGACGTACTGGCCTGTAAGCAGCTTAGAGCGCTCCAGTCTGTGGACCGTGCCTGTTTCTGTCTTCACATCCGCTCTTCATCCCTAACCCTAGGGCAAGCAAGGGCCAGAAATGACTTCATTTCTGTTTGCCAACGAAGCTGATAAATATGGGGATAGGATGGAAAAATATTTGTGCTATTTTCCTGCCTCTCTCTTTCAGTGGATTGTAAGACTTACCATAATCACTCTCTCACTGCATCAGCAACCCTTCTCTGAAACATCTTTGCTTTTTAAGGATCTGGCTACTGTGGTTTTCTGCAAATGACTTTCATTCCCCTTCCTTAGTGATTGCAAAGATCCTTATGGAACCTTATAAGCTCAAGGAGTTTGAGAAAGTCAGACCTGTTGTACTTTCAGGATAGTTACACTTTGAGATTCTAGGAGCCAAGCTTTCCTGGTTCCCTTGCCTTCCCTGCTCCTAGGCATTACTTTGTGACCATTGATTTTGATTTAGGAACTGGAAAAGGCCCTGCTTCATCTAGGTTTTTAAAACCTCAGCCCACAGCCTTGCTTTGGGCATTTCAGGTAGTTGCTTGCAAAGAGTGGTTTCTGTGAAGCTGGCACTAGCTGGTACTACCACTTCAGTCAGCCTTTGACACGTTGAGAAGCTCTTTCAACGAGTACGTTTGGTTACTTAGTGTTAGGAGTCCATCTCCAAGCATAAGCCCTATTATCGAAGGTTGAGTTTTAGGAATTGATACTTAAAACAATGAAGAAAAATTTAAGGTTATTATAAATATGTGCTATGAAACATTAGTGTCACTCTAGAAAAACTTTGTCTTTTCTTTTTGTTTTCAAGAGATTACAGTTGCCAATGGAACGGCAGAGCTGTTGGAACACATCTGGCATCCCCGGATCCAAGAGGTAAAGGATGAGCACTGGCCTCCTGTGTCTTCTTGTGTCTCTTCTCACCTTTGGTGCTGATTGTGCACAAGAAACTGCAGCTACCTTTATAAATCTCTTTTGTTTCCAACTACTAGACTATTTAGTTGAGTTTTATGCCATCAGTCCCCAGGCATGCCTGCTCATGTCCTCCAGGGTGATGACTGTGAGTGAGGCTTGTTGGCTGTCAGCGGAAGAGGTTTGGCCGCTTGGTGTCTGCCTGTTGTTAGCTGTCTTACTGCTGTGTTGGAATGCTGAAAACAGCTTGAAGAGAGAAAGCTCAGTGTCAGAGGCTTTGTCCATCTTGGTGGGGAGGTCATGGAACAGCTAGCTGTTCAGCCCATGGCAGCCAGGAAGAGAGCAAGGGTTGCAAGAAGGGGCCAAGACAACTAGAGTTCCCAAGGACACATCTCAGTGTCCACTTCCTCCAGCTAGGTCCCATCTCTCAATAATGTCCTTATATTATGAGCCATCCATTGACTATCCAATTGTCTCTGGAATCTCCATGAGGTGTGCTTGACTAACATGGACATCTCAGTACAAGCAAGTTGATAGTTATACCTATTTGTTGAAAGAAAGATAATTTTTTTTTTTGGGCCAAAGTACTTTTGAGCAGAGTTGATTGAAGCTGTCCCCAGCTGATGAGTGTGTGTATATGTTCATATTGTCACCATGAAATCTTTAGACTTTGTCCAAATGTCATTCTGTGTGACAAAGACATTCCTTCAGCAGCTCTGTCTTTTGGATGTCTTTTGGGGACTTGGTCTTTTAAAGCTGTACTGAAGTAACCCTCAGGGCTGGATTGAAAATGTGTTCTTTTGAGCATGGCGGGGTTTGTCTATTTCACCCGAAGAGAGAAGGCAGGCAGATTTGTCTTCAGTCCATTTCTGCAGCTGGCCTTAAAGCAGCCATGTCAGTTACCTCCACAGAAACCTTTTTGTAGAGCCCTGGGGACTATTCCAGTTGTCATGCTGCTATATGATAATGACTTGTGGCCTTGCCAAAATGTCACTTGTGGTTGCAGGTGACATTCTGAGTGTTTGACATCACTCTCAGACTCTGCCCTTCTTTGTTTCAGATCCAGGGAGCTATCATCATGTCCTCATTGATAGAAGTGGTCATCGGCCTCCTTGGCCTGCCTGGGGCTCTACTGAGGTATATCGGACCCCTGACCATCACCCCCACTGTGGCCCTCATTGGCCTCTCAGGTTTCCAGGCAGCAGGAGAGAGAGCGGGGAAGCACTGGGGCATTGCCATGCTGTAAGTGTTCTGAGAGAACTCCACGGGCAGGGACCATTCTTACCACTGTGTGGGACAGCCTGGTGGGACACTTGAAACAGTTGCACTGACTTGCCAAGAAAGAAATCTGTGAAGATGAAATGTTGGGACACTAAGTTTTATTAGATTCATGTGTGGGATAATTAAGTGATCAGAGTGTAGACATGAGAACAGTCACAGAACTCGAAAGGCAGACCTAGCAGCGGTGTATGGAGAAGGGAGGACTGTTGGATACGGGCAGATGGTGGTTGCCCTTGCCTCTGCCCCTGCCCGTTGAGGTCATGCTAAGTCACATGCAAGTGAGCTAAGTCTCACACAAGGGAAGCTACACTGTTTAATGAGACTGGCAGCAAGGGCTGTTACTGAAAGACCTTTGGATGCTTAACTGATCTCAGAATAGTGCACTCCAATGGCAAGGTCACAGTTTCTCATGGAACCTGCCTTCTTTTTGTACAGAACAGGAAATACATTGAAGATGTCAATCAGTGTTGTGTACTAATGAAGACATAGGATTTTAATCATTTGTAAGACTGAGAATTCAGTAGGTGTAAGGATTACATCATAGGTTAATGCATCAAAGAAGCTATAATTTACCAACTAATAAAAATTTGAAAACTTATAAGAGTTCTAATTTTTTTGTTTTGTTTGGGAATTTTTTTTTAGTGAAAAGTTTTGTTAGAAAGGGAAGGGAGGGGGAAAGGAAAGAGAAAAGAGGTAAAGAGACAGAGACAGAGAGAGGACAGAAGAGAAGAGGGAGACAGGACTGTCTCCCCTTCAGAGGAACAGCGGGAAAGAGAGAAATATTCCATTTTTAATAATGGGCAGGATGTATTAATTGTTTTGACTATGCCTCTCTGCTTTGTATAGTATTTACATAGGTGGTTGAGGTCAGTGTCCTATGTGTTTAACAACTGAAGAAACAGAAGCTCAGAGAGGTAGTGTGACTTGAGCCACATAGCTAGTCTGTGGCCAAGAGTATCTTTTATTTTCACACTTCACCAAAGTCAGTCAAAACATTCTCCATACAAGCATATGTGTATAGATGCCATAAGGGATTTTAACTCCGTGGAAAGCGGTACCAGAAAGGTGTTGTGTCTATAAAACGTTAAAATTTAGGACCCACAACAAAAAGATTAAGGGGAAAAACACGTAGGAGCTTAAAAAAAAGGAAAAAAAAACAAATTTGATATAAATAACTCCTAGTCAGCAAAGAAATTGTAACAATTGCTAATAATTTAGCAGGTAACAGTAGCAGCACTAATAACTAACCATGGAGTGATTGGAGTTGTCCTGGAGAGAATTTATAGGCTTTAAGAGAAATAAAGTCTGTGTAACCCTTTTCTCTCCAGTAGCTAGCAAACCATGTGACCAAAGTGGGGGAAGTTAATAAAAGTAGAGAAAATGGATAAAAGTAGTGCCCAAAGTCGTCTGTCTGAGCTAGAAACCTTACAGGCCGCTTCTGGTAAGGCTGAGATGAGCAGAGTAGCGTGTGCACTTATGGAGGGTTAACTCTAGAGCAGAGAGACAGATAAAGAGAACAGTGAAATTCTTCCAGAGAAATTGCCAAAATGGATTCCGTGCCCCATACTTTCCCTACAAAATCCTTTTAGGAGCTTCATGGCCTGCACAGGCGTCCTCCGTGTGAGTCCACACAGGCTTGTGGCTGCCCCATAAACTCTGTAGCCATTCTCCCATGTCCCTCTTCACTTGCTGCTCCACAGACACCTGGTTTTGAGTGGGACACACGACTCCCACGCCATTTCCTCTGCCGCCTTTCTCGTTTTAGTAGTGGCTTAGGCACACTTCCACTTTGTCACCCTTACCCCTTCCCATTTGCCTCATGCAGCCCAGAACAAGTTCTGCTTGGCTTTCTCTCTGGGGCTTTGCTCCTCATTGGTCCCCAGCGCCCCTTTCCCCACCCCTTTCTGACCATCCCTAGCCTGTCTCCCAGGACCTTTCCTCTGTCCCCTCTTGAAATTCCAGTTTAGACACAAGCTAATCTTTCCTTAAATACCCCCCTGCCTCTCGGTGAGTTTCTTAAATGTATTTGAAAAGAGAACAACAGTACAGTGCAGGTGGGTGTTGCTGGAAACAATGGTGACAGGCGTTGGGGCTCGTTGGGATATCATAGACAGTGTTCAGCTTGAATAAATAGACCTTTTTTTTTTTTTTTTTCTTTTCTAGACAGGGTTTCTCTGTATTGTTTTGGAGCCTGTCCTGGAACTCGCTCTGTAGACCAGGCCTGGTCTCGAACTCACAGAGATCCACCTGCCTCTGCCTCCCGAGTACTGGGATTAAAGGCTTGTGCCACCACCACCCGGCAAATAGACCATTTTTAATACTCTGTGTTGATGTATGTTGGCTTTGGTTTTTTGTAAATTCTGTCCCAGAGGAACTGAAGTGACCTGGGCCCCATAAATGTTTTCAACCTTGACCTAAACTGTTAGACGTTGATGGGCTATCAGTTGACCCAAGTGGCTCCACAGGCAGCCTGTGCTCAGCCAGCATTAGGAGTGTCACAGGAAGTGGGTCTTCTTAGCTAGCTAGTAATGCTGTCCCAGCAATTGGAATACTTAAGCTTAGCTTTGAGGACACGCTCTTGTCAACTTTCCCTCAGGTGGCAAATGAAAAAAGCCACTGGAGACAGAGGATTAGATCCTGTTAGGTGGTTCTGCACATCCTGTGTCCCTTGGTTGTTCTCTTCAGTCCCCTTGTGAGGATGAGAAATGACTTCCAACTTGACAGCCACTAGGTTGATAAGGAAGTGTCAGGATCCTGCATTAGGAAGTTCTGTAGTCAACCCAGGCATTCCTGCCCTAGGACAGGTGTAGAAGGATATGTAATTAAAGCTCAGGCTGCACATCTAGACCTTATCACCAAGTAGTTCAACTGGTGTGACCCTGAATGGCTCTTGGTGCCTGGGGAAAGAGCATAGTCACAGAAGCTGCCCTACAAGAAACTGTGCAGTTTACCTAGTTTTCAAAAATAACTTATACTCAATATAAAGAAATCAGAAGATAAAGTGGGAGAAAATAGTCACCAATCACCTCAAAATGTAAAATTGATCCATGGTGGCATTTGGATAATATCCTTCCCTCCTGATGGTGTGGATGTGGACATGTGTGTACACTTCCTCCTGATGGTGTGGATGTGGACATGTGTGTACACACTTCCTCCTGATGGTGTGGATGTGGACATGTGTGTACACACTTCCTCCTGATGGTGTACATGTGGGCATGTGTGTACACACTTCCTCCTGATGGTGTGGATGTGGACATGTGTGTATACACTTCCTCCTGATGGTGTGGATGTGGACATGTGTGTATACACTTCCTCCTGATGGTGTGGATGTGGACATGTGTGTATACATTTCTTCCTGATGTTGTGGATGTGGACATGTGTGTACACACTTCCTCCTGATGGTGTGGATGTGGACATGTGTGTATACACTTCCTCCTGATGTTGTGGATGTGGACATGTGTGTATACATTTCTTCCTGATGGTGTGGATGTGGGCATGTGTGTATACACTTCCTCCTGATGGTGTGGATGTGGGCATGTGTATACACACTTCCTCCTGATGGTGTGGATGTGGACATGTGTGTACACACTTCCTCCTGATGGTGTGGATGTGGACATGTGTGTACACTTCCTCCTGATGGTGTGGATGTGGACATGTGTATACACACTTCCTCCTGATGGTGTGGATGTGGACATGTGTATACACTTCCTCCTGTTGGTGTGAATGTGGACATGTGTGTATACATTTCTTCCTGTTGGTGTGGATGTGGACATGTGTATACACTTCCTCCTGTTGGTGTGGATGTGGACATGTGTGTACACTTCCTCCTGTTGGTGTGGATGTGGACATGTGTATACACTTCCTCCTGATGGTGTGGATGTGGACATGTGTGTATACACTTCCTCCTGATGTTATGGATGTGGACATGTGTGTATACATTTCTTCCTGATGGTGTGGATGTGGGCATGTGTGTACACTTCCTCCTGATGGTGTGGATGTGGGCATGTGTATACACACTTCCTCCTGATGGTGTGCATGTGGACATGTGTGTATACACTTCCTCCTGATGGTGTGGATGTGGGCATGTGTGTACACACTTCCTCCTGATGGTGTGGATGTGGGCATGTGTGTATACACTTCCTCCTGATGGAGTGGATGTGGACATGTGTGTATACACTTCCTCCTGATGGTGTGGATGTGGGCATGTATACACACTTCCTCCTGATGGTGTGGATGTGGACATGTGTGTACACACTTCCTCCTGATGGTGTGGATGTGGACATGTGTGTACACACTTCCCTCTTGTTGGTATGCACAATAGTTTCTTGGTTGCTTCAAGCTGATTTCTAGTTGTAAAAATACTCTCTAGTATTATTTTATCTGGCATCATTTCCCTTCCATGGAGTGAACTTTACCACTCTTTCCATTTTTTTACTCTAGTCAGAATCAAGAAATGGTAGGCCAGCTGCTTGTGTCATCTTTCTCCAGATGGTAACATTTCCAAATTGTAGTGAGGAGGACTAGCACAAGTTTAGGTGAATGAACTAAACATGTGTAACCAATTAAAAACTGAGTCATTTTAATGCATAGATATAACAATCTTTAATTTTATGAATTTTCTTTTTCTTCTCAGGACGATTTTCTTGGTGTTACTATTCTCACAATATGCCAGAAATGTTAAATTTCCTCTCCCAATTTATAAATCCAAGAAAGGATGGACTGCATACAGATTACAACTTTTCAAAATGTTTCCTGTGAGTAGCTGGTCACCCCACCCCTAACACAGTATGCCTTCAATTCCATTGAAACAGTTGTTCTATATAGCACTGACAGTGGTGGGCGTTGGGTGGTGGTTACCCGGTAGGAAGAGATGCATTACCCAACAAAGATTCTGCCCTTGACCACTCTAGATAATCCTGGCTATCCTCGTGTCCTGGCTGCTGTGCTTCATCTTCACGGTGACTGATGTCTTCCCTTCCAACAGCACCAACTATGGCTACTATGCACGCACAGATGCCAGGAAGGGTGTACTTCTGGTAGCCCCATGGTTTAAGGTTCCATACCCATGTAAGTATCATGAAGGCCCAGCTGGGAGGGACTGGAAGTAGGCAAAAGGCTGATCTTAGAATATCTTTCTAATCGTATATGTGTACGTGCATGCACACGCTTGTATGTGCATGTGCAGGCACAGGTATGGAGGTCAGAGGGTAACCTCAGATGTGGCTCTCATCTCCTCTTGTTGGAAACAGGGTATGTTTGTTGTTTCCACTGCATACTCCAGACTAGCTCTGCTGTGAACTTAGGGATTCTCCGTTTCCCACCTCCCATCTCTGGAGAAGCACTGGCATTGTAGATGTGCACTACTGTGTGGGTTCTGGGGACTCCAACTCATGTCCTCATGCTTCAAATGGCAAACATTTTACCCTCCAAGCCTTCTCCCTAACCCCGAAGCCTGAACATCTTAATGGCTTTTTGGTCATTAGAGAATCAGACAGTGAAAAGGGAAGTTCTTGTCTCCCAGAGGTCAGTTTCCCACACACAGTTACTGACCAGTTCCCCTCTCAGGTTAACTGCTTGGCCTTCTGAGCCCTATTAGGCTCTGAAATCCTGGGCAGGTACCCTGGCCATTGTGAACTGTGTTGGTAAAGATTTGAGGGCCACTGCCCATAAAGGCAGGCATGAAGCTGCTTGGTACCAGAGCTGTCATAATGAAAAGACCTGGAGATTAGCTTGCTGCTCCTGCCTGGCAGAGTTCATGTGATCATTTTACTTTGGTCACAGCCGAGGTGGTAAACTGACACTTATAAGCAGCCGGAAGATGGAGTTCAGGCTTCACTGTTGGGTAACTCATGGCACAGAGCATAGATCTCCACCCAAAGGATCATCTGGAGTCACATGCAGCATTCCACAGATCCAGCCCTGAACTTACTCACGGGAACCAGCGGTCAGAGTGCTGTTACCAACATACTGGGTTTTCTTAGAGTTGAAGCATGAACTTAGCTAGATTGAGCCAGTTACCTCTTGAGCTGTCTTGTTTTCTTATTTTGCAATGAGAAACCCGAAAAGCAAAGAATATTAAGGTTGGGTCAAAGATGACTCCTTCAAGCATGCTGAGTGGTGATAATGTCAGCAACTCGCCTCTTTGTTCTTGGTACTTTCTGAAAGCTGTAACAGACTTAGCCTTCTAAAATAACATTCTCACCATGTGGCGTCTCAGAGAGTATTTATATATACCTATCCTGTTTCTAGAAAAATGTGCTCAGTTCATAAACACACTTATAAGCCAAGAAAAAGTAAGATTAAAGGTCACTTAGTAAGTAATATTGGGAGGATGGAGCAGAGAAAGAGCCTCGGAGTATCCACATGGCCTGCCCAAGCACATGGCTTCCCAGCTGATAGCCTGCAGGAATGATTACAGGTCATCAGCTGTTCCTGTAAGGGGCTCTCCAGGGGCACCACAGGACCTACTTATGAGATGGTGTCACTTAGTACACAGGGTGCATGGCATCACCGTGTGAGTGAGTGAGCTCATAGGGTTCTCTTCGGGGACAGCCTTCAGTGAACCATCTTTTACTTAGTTCCACTAAGTCACCAGCAAGACCCAGTTCTATGCACTTTTACAGCAATTTGGATCAATCTAGAGAGGATGTTTTCAAATACCACAAGCCATATCCTCAGCCTTCAACATAGGAAGGGTTTCCTAGATTAATGTTAATATACAGACTTCTGGTCCAAGATGTCAGTAATGCCAAGGCTTTGTCTGCAAGTGTATCTGTGCATTAGTTCCCTGCCTGGTGCCTATGGAGGCCAGAAGAGGATGTTGGATCCACTGAAACCCGAGTTACGGATGGTTGTGAGCCTGTCTGCTTTTTGACCGTAATCTAGAATTTCCTACTTGAGATGTCATATTAGTTCTAGAAAAAAATTCAGATTTTAGAACATTTCATACACACACACACACACACACACTTTTTTTTTTTTTTTTTTGCAATAGGGTTTCTCTGTGTAGCCCTACTTGTCCTAGAACTAACTATTGTAGACAGGCTAGCCTTGAACTCACAGGGATCCACCTGCCTCTGCCTCCCGAATACTGGGATTAAAGGCGTGCGCTACCAACGCCTGACCACATTTTATATTTTTAAACTAGGGATGTGCGACTGAAAATGATAGAATCTTCCCTCAAAACCAGGGAAGGGAAGATTCTTTAAAGGAAAACCATCATGCTACTACAGTCTAAATATTGTAACCAAAGAAATTTTCTTCTAAAACCTCAGATGGAACTTGACAAACAAGGTCCTTGAACCAAACCTGAGAGAAAGTGCGGGCCACCACCGTGGCTGGGCACGACCTGTGACACCCCCTGGGATGACACCTTGCATCTCTTGCTCCTGCTGTGTCTGCCTCCTCCGATTGCTCCTGGGGTTGGACGACTAACTTTGTAGCCTTGTTTGTACATCCTACTTTGGATGTCTTTCTCTTCCTAAGCCTGTCTTCATTTGAACTTGAACCATCATGCTGTTAGTGTTCATCTCAGAGTACCCAGAGCTACAGGGATGCCTCCTGCCTGAAAATGTTTTTCAGATTTTCCCACTTTGTGGCATCTGGGTTATTATTCCTAATGGTTCAAGGAAGAAGGGCAAGTGACTTTATCAAGGAAAGAAAAAATGTTTAATAAGAGTTAGGCAAATGCAAATACTCAAATGAAATTACAGTGGGAATTTTGTTTGCTTTAAAATAAAAGTTAAACCTGCTAGTAACAAGGTAGGATTACGTATGCTTTGTGTGTCCTTGGTTGCTGAATTTTTCACTTGGTGCCACTAGTTTGTGCCATGATTCTACAGCTGTGCTGTGAATCCCTGATATAAATTCTTACTCTAAACCAGGAATGTAATCCCAGCCCTGTAATCCCCACATTCTGAAAACTGATGCAGGAGGTTTGCCATGAGTTTGAGGCCTGCCTGGGTTAAATAGTGAATACTAAGCCATCCAAGGACGCTGTCTCAAAAAACCAATTTCTGTCTCACCATAGCAAGCAGTGTTAAATTACACTTTAATGGACTCTAGGAACATGACTTTGAGGAAGAGAATTCCCCACCTCTTCAGTTCATTGACTGTTTTTTTCTTAAATAAAGATGAGGAAGTCAACCCTCATTGAGGCCCCTACTTCATGACCTTCCCAGACATCTGGTGTGATTTAAGATTTAAAAGCAAAGGGTTTCCAAAAGCTTTAGAATCCTGCAGAGAGCTTGCAGAGTTCCCTGAGGTCCTTGTAACCTTTGCCAGTCCCTACAGGTAAGTGAACATATCTTTCATGGTTGTTTTCCCTCCTCAGTTCAGTGGGGGATGCCCACCGTCTCTGCGGCTGGTGTTATTGGCATGCTCAGTGCTGTCGTAGCCAGTATCATCGAGTCCATTGGTGACTACTATGCCTGTGCCAGGCTCTCCTGTGCCCCACCACCTCCTATCCATGCTATAAACAGGTATGTCCTAAGCAGACATGCTCATCTAGCCTTGGGGAAGAAGCTGAGAGCTTCGGATGACAGCAACCAAACCATAACTGGCCATTTGTCTTTGGCTAAGTCACTGCCCTGGTTGTCTCATCCATGGCACACAGCAGACTTCTCCTGTCCCTTCTTCCTAGTTATATAGAGGTGGATACATCTCTTCTTAGTGTGGAACCAGAGAAACAGACACCGCATGTTGCCGTTGTTCTTTGCTTGGTTTTGATACGTGTCTATTTTGATTTTCTGTCGTCTTGTTTTCCCAAGTATTCCCAGCCCCAAAAACTCAGAATATTTCTGAGTTGAAGAAAATTCTATTTTTCTCTTATTCACTCTTGACTGCCATAGTCAGACAGATGGGACAACATTTTTGTTCTTTCTTTCTTTCTTTCTTTTTTTTTTTTTGTATCAGATAGTAAGTGTTGTAGATCTGTCAGTGAATGTATTTCAGTTGCCCTTTGAGGCAATCTGTTCAGAGTCATGGGTCACAGAACCAACAAGAACAGCTTCGGAGAGTGTCCCCATGAGCTGTGGGGTTTGTACCTAGTTGGCTTCTAGAAGTCATTAAGAAATTGTTCCTAAGAAGACAGAGAAAGGAGCACAGGCCATGCCTACCTGTTGTTGTCCACCCAGCATGAGCCAGCATGGCTTGCATGAAGTTTCTGGGTGGTTCTTTAAGGCTTTTCACAGTTCTCTCCAGCAGAGCTGTTACACATGATGAGACTACTCAGTTCAGTTTTTAAAAAAGATTCAAAGCCAGGAGTCAGTGGCACACGCCCTTAATCCCAGCACTTGGGAGGCAGAAGCAGGCAGTCACTCTGGCCTATAAAGAGTTCCAGGACAGCTAGGGCTTGTGTCTAATGGGCAGGTAGCCCTCTTAGAGTTGCTGAGCATATGGGGGGTGGGGTTGTCCTCAGTTGGTCAGTGAAGGGACCTGAGATTCCACACACTGCTACCACTTATCACTACGACCCTCCTAAGGGGCATCATTCTTGTAGGTTTCAAGTTTTAAGAGCTGGTTTCCATGTTTCCCTTGAGTGACTGTTTCTCTTTCTCCCATTTCTTTACTTTTAGGGGTATTTTTGTGGAGGGTCTCTCCTGTGTTCTCGATGGCATATTTGGTACTGGGAATGGCTCTACTTCCTCCAGTCCCAATATTGGAGTTTTGGGAATTACAAAGGTACAAATGTTTTCTGGGTTAAATGACTGTCTGTCCATTTCATTGATTGGTCTGACCTGTGACCCTTCCATTATGATTTCCCCCATCTCCTTTTCTTCCTGGATGAGCTTTGGAGTGCCTATTAGGAGACCACCCCTCTCTTGGCCAGCCTGGGTAGGAGGCATCTGGGTGTGGTTGTGGCTTCCTGCAATCTCCAGACATTGATTAAGCATCTGCCTGTGTCAGACCTCTGCTGTAAGCAGAGGGAGTGCCTGATGAGAAAGTTGGAGTTCACATCCTGATAAGGGAAGATCCTCAGAACCCAACAGAGTATGGTGGATGAGAGATACCTGTCTATCACATTAACCTCTGTCCTCAGACCTCTGGGACAGAGTCCCTCTTGAGTGAAATCTAGGGAGTCATGGTGAAGAAGAGCCTGGATCTGAGTCCTCCCCACTCAACCCTACTAAGAACTCTACCTGACATGTCAGCCTACAACTGCCCCACCCCCAAATCCAGCTTCTGTAAGAAAGTGTACTCCAGACCTGTCAGCTTTATTACGGGCAATTAAACCTTATGTCCCAGTTGCCACAGGTAAACAGTGCTATTTGCCAGGATGTTAAGGTGTGCAGGGTGGCCCAGCAGCCATTGGATGTTGTGTAACTAGAGACTGTTGAGACTGGTTCGCTTTTCTTTATGGCATGCATGAGTCATAGGGCTCCTTACCTGAGAATAGAATCCGGAAGTTTTCTAGATCTGTTTGACCCCTAGCCCCATGCAAGATTCTATAACCAGATAAAAAGAAACCCAGTATTAAGTTTGGTTCATATTGCTTACAAATCTGGGTGAGAGGGAGCAGTGTTGAGATACAGGGAACACCCCTGACTTGCTGATCTAAGAGGCAGGGCTGGTGTGAGCCAACTTCAGCTGTGACGATGGCACCATCTGCTGCCCATTGCTCCCAGCACATGGCATGGAGGGAGGGAGACTTTGTGAGCACACTCCTTCAATGGTGATGCTGTAGTCCAAGTGCTGCCTACAACAGGCAGCAGATGTGGAGTCCTGGAGGTAGGGTTTGGTATGACAGCGTTATTAACCAGCCACCCCTGAGCCTCTGTCCTCCCATGAGCCCATGGGCAAATAACTAGTTCCAAATAGGGTGGTTTAACATTGCTGAGAGGACCTTGTGTTTGTCAAGCACCCTCCTCCTGTACCCTTGCAGATAGGAACAGCTAAGGTCAATGAAAGGAAGCACCCTTTACAACATGACCATGGTGCCTCAGGGAATGAATGATCTTTGAATGGTGCCAGCTTCTTCTGAAATGGCACCTCAATAGCACTTCAGTTTTGCTTGTGCGTGGGTGGGGGGAGTGCACACGCGAGTGCAGTCCCCACAAGGCCAGAAAATAGCCTCAGACCTCTTGGTGATGAGCTGTAGACAGTTGTGAGCCTCTAAATATGGGCACTGGAGGACAGTATGAGCTGTTAACCACTGGGCTAGCTCTTCGACCCACCAACACTCATGGATGAGCTGATTGCTGTTGTTGCCAGCCTTGGGAGCTGTTTTTCCAGGCTAAAGCTGTATCACTGGCAAGTCCCTAGTTCTCATCTGACTTAGAGCGGTAAGGTGGGACTTGGGGCAGAAATGTCTATGACTCTAGCCCTGTGGCCAACTAGATAGACTCCCTGCTTGGGGCAAGCAGGCATGAGCTCTGCATTGTTAGACCCCTTACCCTGCTGAATGACTTGGGATAAGCTGTTTTTATGAGCAGAGCACAGCCCCTAAGGTCTAGATCCATGCTGTCTAACATGGCAGTCAGTGGCCACATGTAACTGTGTATATTTAAATAGGTTAATGCTAAGATTTGACTTACTCAGTCACATTGACCATATTTCAAGACTCATTGCACATGCTCAATGGCTGGCAGAGGACAGCACATTCTGGAAAACACTGCCACTGTAGTAGTCTTCTGGACAGACAGGTGTGAGCTATCGAGCCAGGCTTGGTATGGAAGGAGGGTGGTTTGTCCCCCACCCATCTGCCTGCATTTTCTGGCAGCTCTGCTGTTTGCAGCTTTTATCCAGTTACTGCGTTCCTTGGACGTGGACTTACGAATCTTCTCACCAGTTACCTACACCATGCCTCCACTGAGTATAGTCCCCCGTCCCACAGAGAAGGCAACTTACATTAAATGTGTTTACTCTTTCCACGTAAATACACATAGACGCTTATTCTTAGTTATAAATGCCTGGCCTTAGCTTGGCTTGTTTCTAGCCAGCTTTTCTTTTTCTTTTTTCTTTTTTCTTAACCAAAAATGTCAGCTGGTAACAGATTTATTTAATGTTCACTCATCAAGCACAGTGGATAATCTTGAGGGGGAATATGACAAAGGCGTATGTACAATGATGGAAGTTCTTATCATGCAGGCTGCATGAAGGTGCATTTAATTCCTTCTTACCTATTCTCAAAAACATTCAAGTGAAGGCAGACTCAGACTGACTGATAAACTCTTTTGTATGATGAGGTCCTTTGTTTTATATTTTTGTGATAAGAAAATTCAAAATTATTAATGTTGAATTTCTCATCGTACATTCATTAAAAAATAACAGTAAAAAAACCCCACAAACATATAAAGCAGGGCTGTAGATCAGTTAGTTTAGCTGTTGCAGAGTGGCTCAGTTCACTACTGGGATTATCTGCTAAAGAAGGGAAACAAAACCAAACAGCTGGAGGCCGTTCTCCCAGATCCTCAGATCTGGTTAGGATCATTAGCCAGCTTTTCTTATCTTAAACTAACCCTTCCACCTTTTGCCTCTGGGATTTTATCTTTCTCTTTGGTAAATCTTACTCTTTCTCCGTGGGTGGGTGGCTGACCGGCCCCTGACGTCCTTCTCCCCTGTTCTCACTGCTGCTCACCCCTTCCTCAGTTCTCCTTCTGTTTGTCCTCTCTGCCTGCCAGCCCCGCCTATCCTTGCTCCTGCCTCGCTACCGGTGGTTCAGCTCCTTATTAGGACCATCAGGTGTTTTAGACAGGCACAGTAACACAGCTTCACAGAGTTAAGCAAATGCAGCATTAACAAAAGCAGCACACCTTAAAATAATATTCTACCACAGCTGTGAGCCACCATGTGGTTGCTGGGAACTGAACTCAGGACCTCTGGAAGAGCAGCCAGTGAGTGCTGTTAACCGCTGAGCCATCTCTCCAGCCCCCAGATAGGGAACTTTTAAAAAGTTGTGAAAAAAGTGGGGAAGAAGCAGGAACAATTAAGTGTAGGTGCTGTACCCGTGACTCCAGCCCAGGAGGTCATTCCAGCCAAAGCCCACTCAACGAAAGTAACCATGTCCAGGGCGTGGATAAACACCTGAGTTCTCCTGATGCCTGGGGTCACCGCCACAGCTGAAACAGTGAACTGAGGGAGCAGAGAGAAGAATGGAGCGAGGACAAGCGGGGGCCTTGGGTTGTCTCTATAGTAATTAGACACTGAGGTCTAGTTCCTGTTAATTCAAAGCTTAAAGAACTCTTAGACTCTACCCAGGACACTGTCACATTTGCCCTGGGCCCTGGGAGCCTGGGTGGAAGAATGGCAGGCAAGCTTACGTCTGCAACTGTTGTACCCGCAGGTCGGCAGCCGCAGAGTGATCCAGTATGGCGCAGCACTCATGCTGGGCTTGGGCATGATTGGCAAGTTCAGTGCCCTGTTCGCATCCCTCCCAGACCCTGTGCTCGGAGCTCTCTTCTGCACGCTCTTTGGTAAGAGTCCACTTCCCTGGTAGCAGCAGGCTTACCATCACCACTGTTCTTCATATTGGCTGGTTCTTTTATTATTTATTTTTAAATTTAAATTTAAATTAGAAACAAGGTTGCTTCACAAGTCAGTTCCAGGTCCCTCTCCGTTTCCCTCCCCTCCTCCCGTGCCCTCTCCCAATGGCTGATTCTTTTTAAAATCAAACTGCTTATTGTTACTCTTTGAACACAGGCTTTTACATACAGGCTTCAATCTTCAGACTTCCCTGGATTCAGTAGAAGTTTTATACAACAGGAACTCAACACCCAAAATTTGGGCCCCAAAAGGTTTACTTCTCTGTAAACACTTAACTTTGAACAAAGCACAAATACAGACTGGAAACAGTATTTCAGCTCAACCAAAAATAGTCATCATAAAAGGTGTAAAATAATGGTGTTTTTAGCAAATAAGATGTAACAGTAAACCTAACAATTTTATTTTAAATTGTAATAAGCAATGTTTCAAAAAGTTCAAGGTTTGCCTTAGTGTTCAAGCTTAAATGTATGTTAAAGATAGAAGTAATTATATTATGAAAATTAAGATAAAAATCTAGTCTCTTTAATTAGACTTTCTAATTGAGTTAACTCAGATACATTTCCCCCTATAAATGAGCCCTTTAAACCTGGTCACTTTCACAGTGGGACTTTGGATTTGATCTGTACCACAGATAGGATCATTGTAGACATGCCACATTTCTAGTGTGGATTTGATCAAGATGTTTAAATAAAGAGAATGGGAGATGGTTCAGCCATTAGAGCACTGGCTGCTCCTATAGAGGACCTGGGTTCAATTTTCAGCCCCCATCTGACATTGACTTACAGTCTCCGTGGGTACTGGGCACACACACACTTGTGCAGTCATAAATGCAAGCAAAATACTTACAAACATAAAGTTAAAAAAAAACCAAAGCAAACCATTGTCTGTCTACTTGATTTAAAGAAAATGTAGTGTGAAGTTCATGTGTGATGCTGTCATACAGGTCAGATACAGGTGGTCATATTCTAGCCCTGAACCTTCTCTTATTGCCACTAAACTGGTCTACAAGCTGATTTCTGATGGATGGAGAAAGGACATCTAGGAACCCGTCCTCAGCCTCCAGGGATAGCCCATCAGCATGCCGTAGGTGAACCCAATGGAACTATATTCTGATGTTTTTCTCTCCAGGAATGATCACAGCTGTTGGCCTCTCTAACCTTCAGTTCATTGACTTGAATTCTTCCCGGAACCTGTTTGTGCTTGGATTTTCCATCTTCTTTGGACTTGTTCTTCCAAGTTACCTCAGACAAAACCCACTGGTCACAGGTAGGAGAAAGAGCTGTTGAATCTTGGGTAGGAGAGTTGGGATTTCAACTATAGATTCACAAATAGCTCTTGTAGTTGGAAGGAACCTTGGGACCTCAGGTGTATGTTGCTGAGCCTTTTGTCTCTGTCTTCCTTCTGACTGATTATTTCTCTGGAAGCCACAGGGTCCTCTCACAGACATTAACATACTAGCCTTGGGGTGTCCTCAAATTGGTAGTCTCCAGGTGGACGCGACACAAGTGCCAAGGTCTCACTTTTTTGTTTTATTTTGTGTGTATAAATGTTTTTCCTGCATGTGTGTACATCAAAAGCATGCAGGGCCAGAAGAGGACCTAGAACTAGAGAAGCAGAAGATTTCAAGGAATGATATATGTGCTAGAAACGAAATGCTCCTCTACAGAATAATAGGGGCCCTTACCCAATGAATTGTCAGCTCACCAACTCCTGATGTCTCATTTTTTAATGGTTACCTCTCCTTTGGCTCGGTAAAACTTTTGATTTCTCAGACTCATGCTGTATTAAGTTGTGTGATTCCTTAATATTCAACTTCACAGACTGATATGTCTGTCTATTTTCAATTCAAGAATACTTATTTAGGGCCTGGAAAGATTTCCCATGGTTATGAGCTCTTTTTAAATATCCTTATATTGTCTTATGTGTATGTGTTTTTTTGCTGCATGTATGTGTGGGTACCATGTGTGTATCTCATGCCTGAGCAGGCCAGGTGAGGGCTTTGAATCCCAAGGAACAGTTGTGAGCCACATGTGGGTTCTGGGAATTGAACCTGGGTTTTCTGCAAGAGCAACAAGTGTTCTTAACCATTGAGCCAGCTCTCCATTCCAGCCCTAGTTGTGAGCTCTTATTGCTCTTGTAGAGGGCCTGGGTTCGGTTCCCAGCATCTATGTGGAAGCTTACAATTGCCTGTACCCCAGCTCCATGAAATGTAAACCTGTCTTCTTATCTCTGGAAATATTACATACAAATGGTACACAGTCATACATGCAGGTAAACACACATACACAAAATAGATCTTTAAAGCCGGGCGTTGGTGGCGCACGCCTTTAATCCCAGCACTCGGGAGGCAGAGGCAGGCGGATCTCTGTAAATTGGAGACCAGCCTGGACTACCAAGCGAGTTCCAGGACAGCCTCCAAAGCCACAGCGAAACCCTGTCTCGAAAAACCAAAAAAAAAAAAAAAAAAAAAAAAAAAAGATCTTTAAATAAAGAATACCTCTTTTAGCTCCTACCTTTTATTTTAAAATCCTGCTGTCGTGAAGAATGAACAAAGGAGGAACCTTCTTAAGAAATATCTGTTGCTACTGATGTATTATTTTTACAATTGAATAATTCAGGATCATTTGCTCAAGTTTTTTCTTACATAGGCTTTCATGTGTAGTCCAGATGGGCACTGAACTTGTTTAGATAAGGCTGACCCTGAACCTCTCATCCTTCTGCCTCTGCCTCCCAAGTTGCTGGGTTGACAGGCATGTACTACCATACCATACCTGGCTCAAATAAACTAGATAGGAAGCCTGAATTTGAGGTCAGCCTGTTCTACCTAGCGAGTTTCAGGATAGCCAGGGCAATATAGAAAGACCCTGCCTCAAGAAAATAAACAACAGCAGTAAAAAAAGAAAGCCATTTTTAAAGTGGCATGAACAACTAGGCTTTGTGGCTCTCTTGTAATCCCAGCACTAGGAGGCTGACACAGGGCGATTGTCTTGAGTTTGATAAAGCTCTGAGCTGTGGAGTGAGACTTTGCACCTTCCCCTCATCATGGTGTTATTGTTTTGTTATCCACTTGTAAATTTTTTTGCAGCATTACAACAGCCATTTATAAAAGGTTTAATTTTTATGTGTATGGGTGTTTATCTGCATCATGTGCATGTAATGCCCATGGCGGTCAAAAGAAGGTATTGGATCCCTAGGAAGTTATAGACAGTTGTGATCCACCATGTGGGAACTGAACCTGGATCCTCTGGAAAAGCAGCCAGTGCCCTAAACTGCAGAGCCATCTCCCAAGCTCCATAACAGCCATTTTTAATTCTGAATCTTTTATAAGTCTATAGACCATACCTCAATATCTCCACAATTTATTATAGTTATTGTCATTTTATTCAGTTCATCTACTATGCACTATGTTAAAACAATGGAATTATTATTGGATGCTTGCATAATAGTTTTATATGTTACTGACAAGAGTATGTATATGTGTACAACTGAGACTTTTATATGTTCAAGTCCTGGGTTGACTTCCAGAGGTGTCTACTCCACTGCCCTTTTCTGAGTCAAGGACAGGCCTGCCCTGGCTACAGTGATGACTCTTAATGGTGGTCTGTTCTTATCCAGGTATATCAGGAATTGATCAAGTACTGAATGTCCTTCTCACAACGGCAATGTTCGTAGGAGGCTGTGTGGCGTTTATTTTGGACAATACCATCCCAGGTATGTGCTGTATGTCAGGTTGCTCGTGCACAAGCAGCTCTGCAGAAAGAGTAAGGCCTTAGTGTAGCCCAGGTCCCAAGCCTTGTCGTCTGCCCTGCCATACAGAAACAAGAACCACAAATAGCACTCAGTGACCTCTGCCTGTGAGTACCAGCTACTCACGAGTCTGCAGCAGGGGGATCCCTCAAGCACAGGAACCAACCTGGCTAACATAATAAGACCCTGTCTTGGGAGTAGGCATAGGAATAAATCAGTTCAAAGCTATCACTGGTAAAAACTGTCTTCTAAAGTAGTTGAGATGAAACTCTATCCAAATGACTGTTAAGAGACAGCACATCATCCCGTGTGTGGTGAGAAGGCAGAGGGATGCCTCAGGCGCACCGTGGGTTCCTGTTTCCCTTCTCACCCGAGCCTGGTGCCCTGTGATGGGCTTTCATGGACTCCTGCACAGTCTCGAGCTACTGGTAAATCTCTTAGAGATGGCTGCTGTGCTGTTATCAGATGCTGCCTTCAAGCTCAGATGACACAGCCCATCTGTCTGATGTGTCTGCCATGGGCTCCATGGAAATCTTGTGAATGAGACATTTTAGTAAACTTGAAGCACAAGAACAGAAAGCAGGGCATCTCCTATCTCCACATCAAACTTGGGCAAAGCAGTGAGAGCTTCGCTGAGGGCAGTGGCTCCTTGAAGACATTGCATGCTTACATTGGTCGTTTTTGCAGCACATTTCATAATAGATTTTGAAGGGGCTGTGGTGAGGTGACTAGACAACCAGTTAGGAAACTAGATCAATATGATACCCAGGAAGGCAGTCACATGGTCAGACCTCAGCAGTAAAAACTGAGTCCTGTGAAAGGACAGGCAGGACATGCACTTCAAAGTCACTTGGCTGTGGAACACGAGGAACAAAGAGGGATAGTGATCCCAAGCTTTTTATTTGGGCACCTGGAGAGTTAAGCATCTTCAATTTCTCAGGTTTTCTGTTGCTGTCAGTGGGTAGGTTGATTTTTAAAATGGTGTGTGTGTGTCTGTGTGTGTGTGTGTGTGTGTGTGTGTGTGTGTATGTCTGTTTCTGTCTGTCTGTGTATCTGTCTGTCTATCTGTGTCTAACAATCCTCATTTCCAAGATGATAAGTATTCTTTTTGTGTCTGTGTGTGGAGCAGGTACCCCAGAGGAAAGAGGAATCAAGAAATGGAAGAAAGGTGTGAGCAAAGGAAGCAAGTCTCTTGATGGCATGGAGTCTTACAATTTGCCATTTGGCATGGACATTATTAAAAAATACAGATGCTTCAGCTACCTACCTATCAGCCCCACCTTCGCAGGCTACACATGGAAAGGTTTTGGGAAGAGTGAGAACAGTCGGAGTTCAGACAAAGACTCCCAGGCCACAGTATAGCCTTTGCTGTGCCCTGTGGCCTGGCCACAGTGAGGCATGTATCTGTAGTCCCTTGCTGAGTAACAAGAAGATATATGTTTGTATATCTACGTTGGCATCCTGCACCTCAGAGCTAAGACAGGTTGCACATCACTCTTCTGGTGTGGGTGGTGATTGTGTCCAATATGGTGTCTCGCTTGTCTCCTTATTGGTTCCCTATCCTTTTCATGTCCATTGCTGGCCTTGGTCACTGAACTTGAAGTCACAGTCCTGCTATTGGAGTGGGCTTGGTCCTGCTTTTAATTTTCTGCTGCACAGACTTCCAGTGCCCTCTTTCCTGCAAGCCACTTCAAGGTCCAGGGGTTTCTGCTTCTAAACACTATGTCCCACTCTTCTCCCTTGATCTCAGCTTGAGTCCTGCAGACACCTCTTCTGGCCAAGGGGCTACCAGTGTCCTTAATTTGTCACATCTGCCTGGTCAGATGTTGTCCCCAATACCCAGGAGCCTATTGACCTGACTGAAACCAGTGACATGGCTGACCTATGCCTAGATGTAAGTATGCATAAGGTCTGTATAGCTACGACTGGGTGGAACTCTGTTTAGGAGATTGACAGAGATTGAAAGGTCCTGAGTCAATGGGATTCTCAACTTCTCTCCTCCTTACCATCCTGGTCCCATCCAGGTCAGCACAGTTCATACTAGTCTGTTTTACTGGCTGAGACAACCTATTTGACATTTTCACTGCTGGCTGGTGTGACGGGTATAGAGTGCTCACAGATAAGTCTGTGGGCGTCTTGGCTCTGCTGTCCTGTACTGTTGTGTGTGTTTTTTCCTATTTAATGTTATGGCTGTAGCAGATATTTGAAGTCAGTGTTTTCCATGTGAACTTCTAACCTTGCATCCTATTCCTTGTCCTCTGCCTGTTACCCCATTAAGAAAAGAACCAGTGTGTGTAAAGCTGTGGGGTGCTATCAGGGAAGCTTCTTGGAACGGCTGTGAAGGCCAGTGACCATTGTTGTGGATGTGTTTTGTACTGCTCGATACCATGAAAGTGTAAATACTATAATGTCTAAGCTATTTATCACAACTGACTACTGGACCAGAACCCAGAAACATGGGTCAAGTTACATGTGAATTTGTTTGGTGAAGAAGGGAACCTGGGACAGAAATGCAGCCATTTCCTTCTGCTGCAACTCATTGCTGGTAGATCTGGCTTAATAGGACTTTGTGTGGATTGTCAGGTCACATGTCACTGGATCTTGATTCTTGTGAAAGGGAAGATTTGATCCCTTAGCCAAATAGCCTGGGTAATTCATTTCAGAAGACAGTAAGAAAAGCACTACTGGGTGCCCTCTGTGAAGTGTTCTAACATAGAACACAAATTCTTGCTTACAATTGACTTGTATTGATTTGGTTTTGGTTTTCAAGCCAAGGGGGAAAGCCAAGACACAGAGTAATGACCTTGCTTCATGAGGTTGTACCTCTTAATGACTGTGGACCTGGCTGAACCATGCATGGCAGTGGGCATCCCCCCACCCTCCATCCCCCGCAAGGTATGACTCTCAGTAGCCTTCTATCCACAGAATGTGTTTCTGTACCCCAGCCCTCAGGCTGGTTCAGTGTCACCGCATTGCCAGACCTTTTGTTTCATTTCATTTCTTTTTTTTTTTTTTAAATCTCTGCACTTTTTAAATCTCTGGGTTTTGATAACACATCACCTCAGAGTCACCGCATTGTTTGGCTAAAATCTTACTCCAGATTAAGAACTTGGTTTCTAATTTGTATTTAGTTTTATGTTTTCTAAATGTATATTCGGAGTAATTAGTGCTTTGGAAGCACATTGGTGAGTAGCTTTTGTCCCTCCTTCCTTAGCAAGCCTGTGTGGATGACAGCTCTCCTGCTCTGTATTTACTCTGTGGCCTCAGTTTGCATTTTGCTTAGTTTATCCAGTTTCTCTGTCCAGAAGCTCCTGAGATTTGCAGCATTGTGGTGCTGCTGCAGGCAGGAGTTAGGAGTTTACACAGAAGTGTGAGAACAGCCGGTAATCCCGGAGCAGTGTCCTACCTGTTACACCTGTCCTGCTGAGTGCCACCTGTCCTGAGCAACTCCCTGAGTCTTCCCATTTGGTTGTAATTTGCTCTCGCCACTGTTAGTCTAGGGCATGAGCTCAGGAAGTATCTATATGATCAAGGAAGTGCTATGCCAATATCTCCCCTTGGAAACAGGGTTGGGACTTCATGCTTCTTCAGAGTCAGCTTTTGGTATTCTTGGAAGGAAGGGGCAGGAGGTAGGAGGGAAGAGAGCAGCCCCACCAGGTGCCCCATGTTGTGTCATAAGGTTTGTCCATGCAGCATGCAGTCCCCCAGAACATTTAGGGAAGGTGCACTTATATGCCTGGAGAGGAGTTTTACGGGGACATGGTGACCATGTGTGTTCTGTCTGGTAGACCTTGCGTCTGGCTTGTTGGCCTGCACTGCTGGGACTTGCTGTCTTTTGTCTGCCAGTGGGCAGCTGAAAAGTTTCAGATATGAGCATCCTTTTAGGGCATCCCATCTCTAGTTCTCACAGTGAACACTTGCCTCTCAGAGCAAGCATTGGTGTCAGCATAGAAAGCGGTGTGTGTGAACAAGGACAGGAAGTACTGTCCATGGCCTGTGGGGAGGCCCAGGTTGGAAGGGAATGGGGAAGGGTAGCAATCTTTTTAAGTGATTTTCATTCTCATTTATGAGTTAAACCTTGATGCACTGGGACATTTATGCTCAGAATCTCTCTTAAGAGGGTTTCCAGTGTTAACATTTATTGGGATTGATCCAGGCAAAAGAAGTAGTTTTACCAGGCAAGCTGGAGTGAAGCATTGTGGGTCCTACTGGTGTCCCATTTCCACTCTAACAAATTCACATGCAGGATTTACTTTATACTGTAGAATACTGACTTTCATGATGACAACTTGATTTATGCATGAATATCACAGTATTTCCATATAGTAAAACAACATTTCTGCCCAGGATAATAATCAGTTTTCCAGGGAGGGAATGATATAATTTTCATGACAATGTCATGTGCTGATAGAATTTCTCCATTGATGAACCTCTAGTATGTGTGTATACTTTATTTACCCATGTGTATATTTTATGATCATGACCTAAACTGTTAATACTTTCATTCATGTCCCAGTTGCCACACTGATATTGGCAACTGAGACTTATAGTTGGCAAGTTTAGTCATCAGTCATACCAGTGTCACAGAGGTGAAGCCTAAGTTTAGAACCCATCTGGCTAGAAAACAGGCAGCATCCTGCAGGTGGCTGGGCTTGGCATAGATATTTGGCTGCTGGTACCAGGCTTGGCATGGCTTGGAGTGAGGGCCTAATTACTCAGTTGTTGCTGGACGTCAGCTGTGCACACCCAAGCATGCCCACTGCATACTGGGTTAGTGCACAGCTGGACCCGAGCTTTCACAGAGAGCGCTGGTCTCCAGGAAACTGTCTTTTGGGCCAGGGTTTCACATACTGTACTTTGTTCTCAGTCCCCTTAAGATTTGAACACAGAATAGGACATTTTCCACTTTCCACTCTCCCTCCAGTCAGACCCCAAGTAAAGTCCCTTATGTGCCAGCATTCAGCTTTCATCCAAGGAACCCAAAGCACAGAGGTGCTAGGGACCCCTTTGCAGCAGCCTCACAGACCTCTGCATCCTTCTAGGATGTTGGCTGCCTTGTCACCGCTCTGATACCCAGCATTCTCAGGTTGCCGTATGTTTCCTGGTGTTTAGAACACTCATGCCAACGTCGCTGTCTGACACCATCTGACAGTTCAGTGAACATCCTTTTCTGTCCGTTCCTATCAACTTTTATTTGACACATTAATCAGTTTCTGACTGTCCTTAAAACAGTAGAGATGCCTCTATTGTATTTGAGTTTTGTGACTGACTTTACCTATATATCTTCCTGGGGTTTTGTTTTTAATTTTTATTTTGCATACTGAGGGTATTTGGGGTGGGGTTGTTTTTTGAGATGTGTAATTCTTTTATGGAGTTTTTAAAAAGAATTTTCATATTGTTTTTCTAACATGGCTTCATTAAACGTTTAAGTATTTTAAAAATATGTAATATTTGGACCAGATGTTGTGAATAATAGTAGAGATAAAGCTATTTTATTCTGTATTTTTAAAACTGTTCCGTACAAATAAAAGCTCTCCTGGATGTAGTTCTGCTGTCGTGTGCCTCTTTTTTTTTTTTTTTTTTTTTTTTTGGCTAGAATTCAATTAAGAGCCACATGTTTTAAAGTTCTTAAGGAATAGAATCAGTGGGATGAAAAATGTGCGTACACACACACATGCATGCATGACTTTATTATATATAATAGTTAATATATTCCATATATAATAGTTCATATATATAATATATGTGGGAATTTATTAAGTCTACTTACATTAAAATAATAAAAGCTGAATCACACATGAGACGATAAGAGCCAGGTAGTTGTTCTGTGCTTGGTTGGATGCCTCAGTGGTTAGAGCCCCTCTGTGACTGCCTCTCCCTGGAGAGGCCAACAACCCAATAGTTGCTTAATTCACAAGGTGGGGTGCCTAGCAGTCCCAGTCCAGTGCCATAACCCCGGCAGCTTCCTGGAAGGATGCTGGTTCTCAGCCGGGGTTAGAAGCCTGGAAAACCGGCTCTGACATCAGTGCGGGAATCGGCTGTAGCAGCAGGTGAGTCCAGAGAAGGCCCAGCCATGCAAGCACGAGGCCTGTAGCCTTCCTTCTCAAACCTTCATGCCCCTTTAAAAAATCTGAACTGTGTCCAGAAGGTCCAATCAAGGCAATGAGGACAGATCTTCAGGTGACACCCCCTGCTCAGGTGAAGCTAATCTGTGATAAAGTGACATTAAAGCCATAGTCCTGTCACCTAAACAGACTAATAAAAGGGGTTATGTTCAACAGCTTCCCAAGAGTTCGTGTCAGCAAGTGGGGCTTGTCTGTGGGATGCAGGTCCTGTGAGAGAGGCAGGATCCTCGGGAGGATATGGAGGGGCAGGCCTCAGGCGTCAACAATCAATCATGCTGGGTTTAGGGTGGGATTTCAAGCCCGCCATAAACAGAATCCATACCAAGAGGTCAAGTGAATGGAAAAAAAAAAGCCAAGCACATCTACTACTATGGTCAGGCCCCATTTAGTAGTAGTGTGCCCGAAGGGGAGGCAGGGGTGGATGGTGAGGAGCTGGGGAGGGGGCAGGGGTGGATAGTGAGGAGCTGGGGAGGGGGCAGGGGTGAATAGTGAGGAGTTGGGGAGGCTACAGGGGTGAATAGTGAGGAGCTGGGGGTCAGGGGTGGATAGTGGGGAGCTTGGGAGGTTACAGGGGTGGATAGTAAGGAGCTTGGGAGGTTATGGGGTGGATAGTAAAGAGCTGGGGGTCAGGGGTGGATAATGGGGAGCTTGGGAGGTTATGGGGTGGATAGTGAGGAGCTGGGGAGGTTACAGGGATGGATAGTGAAGACCTGGGGAGATTACAGGGGTGGATAGTGAGGAGCTAGGGAAGGGGCAGGAGTGAATAGTGAGGAGCTGGGGGTCAGGGGTGGATAGTGGGGAGCTTGAGAGGTTACAGGGGTGGATAGTAAGGAGCTTGGGAGGTTATGGGGTGGATAATGAGCTGGGGAGGGGGGTCAGGGTGGATATTAAGGTGGGGGGGTAGGGGTGGTAGGGGGAGCTGGGTGTATTTTTGAAGTTGGAGCAAACAAAATGGACCCAATTTCCATCCTTGATTTGTCCCTGACAGTTTAGGACACATTAGTGACATTGTAGCTGCTCTGTGGGTGCTGCCATTCTCAGTGGCCAAGGAGTGACATGTGGTTGTCCTCTACCTCTAAATACACACAGAATCAAAAACAATCTAGAAGCCTCCAGAAAGAATTAGCTGACTTAAAACAAATAGCTAGGACCCAGTGAACATCAGTATTCTTCTCAGTGAAGTCTCTCCCCCTTGCCCTCTCCCTGCTCTTCCCCCTCCCCATCTCGTTCCCCTCCCTAAGTCCCCTTCCTTTCCTCCTGTCCCTGGGCTTCTTCCTATCCCTTGTCTCTTTGTGCAACTCAGACTGGCATCAACCTTATAATCCTTCCGACTCCATTTCCCAAGTGTGTACCACTATGTGGGCCAAGAATCTATCTGAACTTAGCTGCCAAAGGCTCACATTTAAATACTCTGTACGTGCCTAGACAGGAAGAGAAACAAACTCAGAAGTACTGTGTGGGGTAACTGAGAGGCAGGCTAGTGATAAGCTCGGTGAGTCTCCCCATAAAAAGCAGTAATCAAAAGGAGGAAAAATATTCACAATGCCACCAAATTAAAGCTATACATATCAGATGGTAGTGGGGAAAAGAAAAGACGTAAAACGTGGAGGAAACAAGGGCGGAAGGGAGGGAGGGAGGGAGGGAGGGAGGGAGGGAGGGAGGGAGGAAGGAAGGAAGGAAGGAAGGAAGGAAGGAAGGAAGGAAGGAAGAGAGGCTTAAGTGGACTAATAGTTACAAATGAACCAAACTGTCAGACACCTGACTATGTAAATCCTAACACATGCTCCTAAGCACTGGTGTTGAGAAACAGCAGCTGCGATTGTTAGAGGCCCCAATGTTGTATTCTGAAATTGATAGTGTTTTAGCAATCAATATAAAGAAAAAACTTTAATCACTTTTGTTGAATCTAAAAACAACTGGGCTTACATCTTACATTTAATTTTGTTGTTTTCTTTGTAAAAGTCAGGCTACTGTGGGTTAGGGGACTGGAAGGGGCTTGACCAAGCTTAAATGACATCTCCCACCATAGACATGTTGAGAAGCTGATGATGGTTTACAAAATGCTATGCAAAACTACAAAATTACAAATTAAAAGTTGAGGTAAAAATCACTCTGGGCAATTACTAATCCCCTACCATATCATCAAAGCTGTCCCCAAAGGGAGAGACCTCCAGGGCAACACCTTTCTTCTGGAAGTTGAAGTGTTTCTTGAAGGGTTCTTTCTGGCTCCATTTATTGAAGAAGGTCCGAATTTGGTTAGCAATAGGATTTGCAGTAGGCTTGGTTGGTATTTTTCTCCCAGGCTCATCTCATGAGCTGGATATCAACTTTGCTTTCCTATTCTGAGTAATACAGTAAAGCAATAGAAAGTATAAAATTATAAATATCTGATAATATCACAGATTAAGGAAAAGCCCCCACATGGCTGCATATTTCTACATAAAGCCTTCAATTGTACTTGACATTAAAATGACAGTTGTAGCCAAAAATCTTTCTCAGCCAAAGTCACTGGGCTCAGTAGTCCAGGCATGCAATTCCAGCTACACAGCAGGCTGAATCAGGAATATCAAAAGTTCAAAGCCTATCTGTGCTACAGAACCACTTGAAGGCCAGCTTAATGAGACCCTGTCTCAAAACAAACAGTACAAAAAGGGTTGGGGATTCAGTTGTGTGATAGGATGCTTGCCTAGGAAGGCCCTGGTTTTAATCCCAAATACTGTTCAGAAAGCAAACCAAAGCCACCCTCATGTGCACTTGTTCCTGCCAGTGGCCATGTGAAAAGGACAGAGAGACATTTGGGGCAGAGGCTCTCGGGCCTTGCCCATCTGAGGTTTACCCATCAGACTTTTGCTTCCTGGTGGGCCAATCCCCTGCAGTCAGTTGCCACCACTGCTCCTCTGACATGCCCCCTGGCATGGTCCTGTATCAGCTGCTTCTCATTGCTATGAGAAAACGTCGACAGGAAGCCACTTAGGGGAAGATGGGCTTACTCTGGCTCAGGGCTAGAAGGGACCCCTTCTACCATAGCTGGAAAAGCATCCAGTCAGGAAGCAGAGTGCACAATAGGTACAGCTGGCCCAGCCCAGCGACCTGCTTCCTGCAGCGGGGCTACAACTCCAGAAGGTTCCACAACTTTCCCAAACATGAGTCCATGGAGGGTGTTACACACTCAGATCACAACAGCCCCTAACAACTGGCCTTGCTTGATGGAGGCAGTCTCTAGAATATACCATCCTCATAAGGGAATAAGCAGACTCAAACTAGACAAATGGCTCCGGTGGTTGGATTTGGTCAATAGTCCGCAGCCCGTCCAGAAGTCTATAGTGACCACCCTCACATGTCCTGCCTCCCACCACACATATTCCAAGATGCCTTCAACTTCAACCCCCACCTCCCAGGACAGTGAGCCTCAAACTCCAGATTTGCTTTACCTGAGGAAATGGTGACAAAGATGCCTGTAGGCTGTGTAAGCGCCATGGCTAGACATACAGAACACCCTTTTCCCAGAGGACAGACAACCAGTGTCGTCGCTAGGATCCCTTTTGCTATTCCTCCATGGTGCTAGAGTCTCAGGATGCAAGACTCCCAGCCTTGCTTGTGGTCATGTGGCAAAGTGACCAGGCTCTGGGCATGAAGTATGATGAAGCTTAGAGATGGCAGTTTCTGGCTTAGTTCTTCAATGGTAGAGGCCTACCACATCTTTGTCTTTGCCCCATTGACAAAAAGCAGAGGTGGTAGCCAACCAGTGGAGCCCATCCAGAGAAAGACATCACCAGAGAGGCAGGACATTGTGAAAGAGCCCAGTCTGACGCTTCTGGTGGTCTTGGCATGAGAGAGAAGTCTTAGAAGCCTTTCTAGTATCTACGGGAGCTGTTAAAGCAATGCCCTAAATATAGGGAATTCTTAGATGAAAAGGATCTAAATTATACTAGCAACTCATAGGGTTTGACAGAACAATTGATCAGCTAGGTACTTTGCTCAGGTTAGCTTACAGTCTAGTCCACTATATGCTTTACGACTTGGGGATGACACCTGGTTGCAGGAAGGATTTGAGGGGTTAAGACACACTAGATTCAGGCCTGGAGAGATGATGCCGCAGTTAGGAACATTGGCTGCTCTCCCAGAGGAAAGGGTTTGTTTCTAGCTCTCACATGGCAGCTCCTGATCATCTATAACTCAGTCCCAGGGGATCTGAAGCCCTCTTCTGGCCTCCTTGGATACCAGACAGGCATATGGTACACAGACATGTAAACAAAACATTCATACACATTAAAAAAAAAATTAGCCGGGCGTTGGTGGCACACGCCTTTAATCCCAGCACTCAAGAGGCAGAGGCAGGCAGATCTCTGTGAGTTCCAGGACAGCCTCCAAAACAATACAGAGAAACCCTGTCTCGAAACAAACAAAAAAATGGTTGACT